ATATCAACTATTAACTAATATTAACTATGAATAAACTTAGAATACTCGCTTTCTCTATGTAGATAGGAATTTTTCATTTGCTGCTAAGTTCATTGCAAGACAGAGTTTTTACAGCAACAAGTTAAGAACGTAGCCTGCTTTAGGCTACCGGATGCGGCGCAGGCTAGATTTTGTAAATAAAAGCTTTTGGGATGGAAACCAGTTACAATTCGAAATATATGTCCAAAAACAGAAATAAACTTGGGCACTTCTAATGAATCAGGAAAAATATATATATTCCTTTATCTCTAAGACTACATATTTTGATATGCACAGTGCAAAACTTCAATTTTAATCATACAATTATGATGAATTACATCGTCTTTACTCGCTACTTKCTTTACATTTTTCTTCAATTGATGTTACATTCATATAGACTTTATTAATGCGGTACGCATGTGGCTGCATTCAGTCTAGGCCAGTTATCTTGGCCTTGACATAGGTAGTATAACCGATTTATCGTAAGTGTTCAATTCTTCTTGGATTATTGAATTGGTCTTAAAATGTTTTGTGTTTGTAGTGTACTTTTCATCGYAGCATATAATTCTTCRTATTATGTATTATCTTGGCCTCTTCTCTAGTTCTGTCCGTCGTTTATTAAAGTCARAGCCAGCAAATSGAATTGAATTTCTCCGCGGGCTTTTCTTCTTGTTCTTATGCTCTCCATYTCAACAGCCATGATAACGTAGTACTTCAGGGATAAAACGGTTTTGTCTCTCATGTTGTGATTATGACAACATCGCCGGCTATAGTTTACTGTTRTGCAGGCATGATRTACTAAATATTTCTCTCCGTATATTGATTATCTTCAATCTTCATCCYAAAGAAAATCTTTAAAGTAGTGCTTTAAGTAGGTTGTGCATTCTGCATATAGGWAAGCGCGCATTTAGWTTTTGAAATCTAGAAGGATTGGATTTCTTAGCCAATCATATAAGCAGAATAGTGAAGCCATGCACTGTGCTCGTGATCAAAGTAAATCATAAAATGAAATCTGATAAGCCACGACAATGCGCGCGAACTTCGACAATTCCCGCCAAGCATGTATCTTGTTTGGATTAGAAGCCGTCCAAAACTACGGCAAAATGCTGTTTATTTTTCTGTCTTCGCGTTATTCAAAGACATTGAATGGACAATGAAAAGTTTTATTTGTGGTACAGCGATCTTTAATTCTTTTCGTAATCAAGCTGCTGAACTCCGAATGCGCGGGTTCTTAGCAGCATATTGTGCGAGAACTTTATAGGGCTTGCTGACAATAGGTTTCGGGAATTAAGGTCTGCTGACTTCGATTTAAAACAAGTCCAAAATTGTGAAGAAGAATTAAGAAAAGGTATATTTTTTTATATAATGGAAACCAAACGAAACCCAACGTAGCCACGGAATACAGTAGTTAAAAGCCGGCTTGCCTCGACAGAAGATTACATTATAATCAAGCCTTCTTCGATCCAGTTGTAGATTTTCGAAAATGTAAGGTAAATATCTAAGTCATATTATTGCAGATATATAACTTGTGTTACTACGCTACCTTATTTAGGATTAACGGCATATATTATTTGCAAACATGTTGTGGTAAATGTTTYAGTTGTCGTATTCCCTGACCTATCGACATCAAACTAAAGCACAACTTATTTGATTACATATTTAATGAAATTTTAAGGTCAGCTTAAAGTTCAAACATATCTCGTGGATGCGTATCCAGAGTACATAGAGTAGAGGGTCTTGGTGACAAAAAAGACAGGCTTTACTGCTAGACATACTCTTTGTGCCTTTAAGATAAATTTATAAATTTTCTTATATCACTTTTCTGTAAAGATTAACTAAATGTCACTTAAAGGTAACTTTTTCCTATGTTAGTCTTTAAGGAGATTTAAGCCTATCATTTTAATTTTAAAAAGCTCATTACAGATTTAAGAAACTTTAAGGTTTTCTTAAAGTCTTTTAAATGCGCCAATTCATCCAGTGATGCGTTTAGCGATTTCTGCTTACTCATTCAGGGCAAATAAACCGTTTGAATTCGCCTGGTCCAAGGGGGTTTCTCGTGTTATGTTTTTTCCCCTCGATAGAACAAAAACCCTACGAGAAACCTGCGGAACCAAGTTAAAATAACATACACRTATGTCTCTGCGGCATTATTACCACCTACTGTACTACACAGATTGTACAAACAAGTCTGTTTACCGCTCCTTTTACCGACTGACAGTCAATAAGACCGAATGTAACTAGATGATATGTAACTGCTGTGTATCAAATGAATCTTATCTGAATGAGTCATACAGTTCTGTATTCTTGGCGGCAGTTTTACGCGGGTTGGTTTACTTTGGTCAGTACTACGTCTATTTTTAATGTTAGAGATGTGTGCTTATATTTTCAAMCAGTGTGAATCTTGAATATAAGCGATGTTTATTCATGAAGCACAAAACAGTGTGTTGATGTTTGATTTTACGAACTGAAAACGATGTCTTGATCACGCGCTTGTCGTGCTTCTTGCTAGCCTGCGCCATTTCCCGCGCAATTCTACAATGTTTATGCTGTGACTTGGCGGACTTGAATACGGTAATCAGATACACTTAGTTTCCCCTGTTCAGATTTACGAATCACAAATCAAAATTATCCTCCGAGATAGATTGCCAATCGTTTAAATACTGATCAGTTTTGATTGGCCGTTGTTTATGTTATAGCACGTGTGAAAAAATCTAACACGGGTTGTGAATCAAATTTMCGTTTTTAACTAGCTCGAAGCGTACTGAAACAAGTTATTGTTTATGGGTGATAGCTATTGACAGAGAAAGAACATGRTATCTGCTTTGAATAATAWGAGGTACAAGATTGGATGAACTTGGATATCATATCTCCATATCCACAAAAGAATCCAAACATGAYATGTAGATTATCGAATACCAAAGACACCAAAGGAGAGGAGTTAGGCTGCTTCATCGTRCTCTAGCCATGGWAATGAACTTTTCATTGGAATTTACATAAAATTAGTACCAAGTACTAGTCTAAGATCAAAGGCCAAAACCAAAGTTTTGACTTCGGAAATTCGAGAAAGAGCGAGGTGGYTCTTAGCGAATAATATGAATATGTGGCAAAATCGTGAGTTTGAAGGTAAAATAAACCGGTATTSAATTTCGTACCAAGATGATTTTGAAACTGGTAAACGGATATGTATCTCAACGCAAATAAAACCCTTTGTATTGGTCCAAAAAGGATATCATGTCTGTTTCTAAATATAGCAGGCTAATGATTGGACAAGAWCGGATATAATATCTTAAGATAGGATATGATATCTCAGCCAAAGTGGGTGCAACCAAACTCGATGTGTGATTGGTTAATCCCAGATATAATATCACAAATCCGGATATGATATCCGAGGTCAAAGTAAACACATATCATCTTCCAGTTTAAGATGGCATTTTCCACTTTTAAATGGCAGATTGTTAATAGAACTTAACTTTTTTAGATTAAATATAGTATATTTTCTCGATACTTTATGTTATAGTTTTTTTTTTGTGCTTAAAGACATTGAGGTGGCAGTTGCTGCAGGCAGCAAGAAGATTTTTTTAATTGCTGAAAATTACTGCTACTTTTTACTTCTCCGACCTTTGCTGTAACAGGAATTGGTGTTTTCTCTAATCCACCTTTACCTGACGAATTATGCAGGGATTCCTCAAATTCGATTTTTTGGCCTTTTTTTGGGCGTGAATCGCTTCGTCATTTCTCTTTACTCACAATAACGTAGTAATTGTAATAAATCTTCTTCCCAAATGAGTTTAAATTCACCAACTCAACTCAACTCAAACAAAAAACAAAAAAACAATTCAACTCCTGGTCATGCCAGAAACCACAGATTTGCCTGTTGAAAGAAGGGGTCCTTTCTTTACAGCCATGACTAGAACTTCTGCTTCAGGCACGTCCACTATTTCATCAAGCCCAGTTGCTTATCCTTTCTCCTTGGCTCAGGATGCTTCCACGAATTTTTGTTAAATCTATTTTCATCYTTGATTTGTGCCATGCTTCTTAGTTAGTGGCAGCCATAACACAGGATGGAGATTGCTTTTCAGATGCTCTTCCCAACATGCACAGCTCCACCACTGACGTCCTCCTCCTTGGTTTTACTGAAAGTATTTAGTAGCTTCGGGGTTCTTATATGGTAATGAAAAAAATTAAATGAGTTTCTACCGTTGTAGATATCTAGATTATTAACAAAGAACATGTGAATGTTTTTGTGATTACCAAATGAGTGTAAACTTTCTAGTTGGTTGTGGTTGCACACAATTCGGATGATTTATCACTTCTTTTAACAGGATTGCATGAGAAAAGGTCCTTCTTTTTTGAAGAACTCTAAATTGACTTTTAAATAAGCTAAGTTCTTAATCCAATCCCAGGATGTTCTTGTTGTGCTTCTTCAATTGCAATATAGCTCTACATTGATGTCTTGATTTGAATGATGAATGAATGATGATTCAGAACATCATTCTTGATGCGAAGTATGTGTAA